TTTAAAGGACTGTGGTGACTCATCAACTTAATAATATACTTTATTTTGTATCATGAAAAACTAGTTTTGGACAGCTATTTAGCCTTACCTTATACTGTTTATTCATCAGTGTTAGTGATATTCTTACAATTTATGTGCATGATAATTAAGGTGTGTGTGTGTTTGTGTCATATAAATTTGGGTCGAGGTTAAATGACCATGTGAAAATGTGGGTCCCACAGCCAAACCAGTTGAGAAACCACTGGTATACATTAATATTAGTCTGATTTGTCATCAGTGGAAGCATGTGTGACTGCTGGTGACCAATAATACATTCTTTTCTGTTTAACTGTTTGTTCAGAGTTTAAAGTGTATGTTAAAGAGGTCTATATGGAACAGGACAGGGATTGAGCGGGAAAGCGCCTTATATAAGGATTCCATTCTTAAATTCACCATGGCAACAATAACTCACACAAGTTTCTGTCCACACACACACACACACACACACACACACACACACACATTCATCTTAGTTTGTACCTTAGGAAACACTGACACCTAGTGAAAATTCTTACTGATTTACTAACAGTTTCGTCACATCTGTACTTTTATCCTTCATATGATATACTTTATGGAAAAAAAGTAATAACATTAACAATCATAACAACTGTAATTTTAATTATACACACCTCTGTGTCAGCTTTATGGTTTCATCGATTCAATGGTAGGTTTATGCTAATTCAATACATATTAATTGTCTTTTCTTCATCCTTAAAAGAATAATACAAAAACTGCCAACAGGAATAAAACATTTAAAATATTGAATAGCAGCGTTTTGCGCTCAGACAAAATATGACAATGGTTCAGGCAACTGTAATGATCAGATGAATACATTACAACTGGCATATAGATGATATACAAATATTTTTTGATTCATTCACTAAATAATCAATTATTTTGTGTATAGTCTTGATAGTTAATAAAACCGCAGTAGTTAGAAAAGCAAACACTTGACCTTGAGAGTTAATATTGAGTGAAATGTTGATTAAAAAAAAAAAAAAATTATTAACTGATAGGCCTATTTACATCTGTGTACTATAGTGTGATGCATGGAGAAAACAAACAAACAAACATGTATATCTAAGGAATATATTTTCCCTTGGGTTAAAAATCCAGAAACATCAAATACATTTTTTGGTTCCGGAAGTATTTTTTCCATTCATTTTTTTCCATAGGGATTTTTTTTCTAAATCATTTATTTAACACTTTTTTGCTCCTTAATGAGAAACTAATGATAAAAATATTTAAACTCTACAGTCAAATTCAATCCGTTATGTGGCATTCAATGACATGCTTTATATATATATATAAAATATATATAGGCTAATAATAATACTAATATTACCCAAAATTGGCCTAAAATAATATAACTAAAGTACAATACTAATACGTATTGCAAGACTGGGTGGGTTCTGGGTAATTAGACAATTTCTAATAGATTGTAAGATTGTGTAAGCCATCTTGTTGATATTTTCATGTTTCCCCCTAAACACGTATGCATCTAGCCTAGAAATCTAGACGCACCCTAGCGACAGCAAAAATTATTTTGCAGCAAAGTGTGGTGTAGCAACTCTCCATAGACTTTTGAGCTGGAAAAACCAAAAACTAGTCAGGCCAATCACATCGTGTATAGAGTCGACGGGCGGGCTTAACATAATGACGACAGAGTTGCAACGGTTCATTGCTACATGAAAACAAAGAATGGCTGCTGCTGGCGAACAGCTGTCTTTCGATTCGGCTTTGGCCAGTACACCGGCAAGTCATGTTCAAGTCTTGATAAAAGGGTGAGACACCGCTGACAAATCCTGTCCGACTTTCCCGATGTTTTAACTGCCGCCAGTCCAACATGCAGTAATCTCTCGGCAATACTTAACGTTGGTCGTTTCTCTCGAAGATGCTTGATGAATGTACAAGCACACCCTCAATTCTTATTTATTTTTCGCAAAAACGGCAACAGTCATTGTGCTCCATTACCATAACTTTGGTAGTTTACAGGAATCTCTCCATCAAACTTTTTCACAACACACCATAAGCGAAACACTCGCTCTGACTACGTCACCTTCTTCGTTGCTCTGGTTGGTTGTAGCGCTATCCAATTGCGTGTAGACAGAATTTGAAAGACAACCGTTTATGCCAATTGTGAGTTCCCAGACCTAACATCTGATGTAGGTCTGGCTTGTATGCATCTTAAAGAGGAATAAAGCGACAGAAAACAGTGTGTGTTCATGTGAGCAGCAAAGATTAAATTTCGTTATTACAACTGGTAAGTACAGGCGGTCACATACCTTAGTTACATATTAAGTACATTTTGTTGTCATGTTATTACATATTGTATTAAAGTACTTAAGTAATTACTCTGTAACACAGACACCATAAAATGATTACACAACTTTTCTATCTTTATATCCAATGACTGAGAATTATTTTAAAGGCTATACCAGCGAGTTTACACCCAAACATGTTCAGGATGACACTATGCCACCAGGGAATGAATGTTGTGATATAGTAATCCATCATTGTCCTGATAAATTGTGTTAAAATCATCTGCATAAGGGAGCTTATTCATTATCAGAATGAAACAAGAACATATTTTGTAACCTGTATAATGTGACAATGTTTGTGCATCCAGTGACATCAAAAGTAGTTTGAGATGAAGAAATATGTGCCCAAGAAACTTAAATCTATGACTTTAAACATAAAATAAAAATAGACATGTAAAATGATTTAAAACAAAAACAAACATCAATAATGATGTTATCAAACTTTATTCGGGGGAACCACCATTTAGGTCTGTTCAACAAGAGTGTTTGCAAGAGCTCATAAAGAGATGATACATATGGAGAGGAGAGTATATAGAGTGTTTTAGGCATTATAAGTAGAAAGGATTACAGAACTCTGCGGTTTACAAGTACAGTGTTTAAAAAGGCTAAACATCATCACACCAGATTACCAGCATCATGAGGCAGAAAACTCAAAGAGGACTCGTGTGTGTCAGCGCTCTGATCATTCAAGGGCAGGAGTAACAGAGGATTTCACAGCTTTTGGCGCGCCTATTTTCTCCAGTTGTTTCTTTACACTTTCGTACTGTATTTGCCACTGATCCTTGGAGAGAGAGGAAGGACTGACCTCCAGAAACTTGTAGGCATCTCTGGTCTGGAGCTTAAAGATGACAGATGCTCTTTGACAACCAGCACCAAAACTGCTCCAAGCCTGTGGAAGTAAAACATTTACAAGTTATATTAGACTTTTAGATGAAACCGTAGTAATGGCTGGACAATATATATATATATATATATATATATATATACACTCACCGGCCACTTTATTAGGTACACCTGTCCAACTGCTCGTTAACACTTAATTTCTAAGCAGCCAATCACATGGCGGCAACTCAGTGCATTTAGGCATGTAGACATGGTCAAGACAATCTCCTGCAGTTCAAACCGAGCATCAGTATGGGGAAGAAAGGTGATTTGAGTGACTTTGAACGTGGCATGATTGTTGGTGCCAGAAGGGCTGGTCTGAGTATTTCAGAAACTGCTAATCTACTGGGATTTTCACGCACAACCATCTCTAGGGTTTACAGAGAATGGTCCGAAAAAGAAAAAACATCCAGTGAGCGGCAGTTCTGTGGGCGGAAATGCCTTGTTGATGCCAGAGGTCAGAGGAGAATGGCCAGACTGGTTCGAGCTGATAGAAGGGCAACAGTGACTGAAATAACCACTCGTTACAACCGAGGTATGCAGCAAAGCATTTGTGAAGCCACAACACGCACAACCTTGAGGCGGATGGGCTACAACAGCAGAAGACTCCACCGGGTACCACTCATCTCCACTACAAATAGGAAAAAGAGGCTACAATTTGCAAGAGCTCACCAAAATTGAACAGTTGAAGACTGGAAAAATGTTGCCTGGTCTGATGAGTCTCGATTTCTGTTGAGACATTCAGATGTTAGAGTCAGAATTTGGCGTAAACAGAATGAGAACATGGAACCATCATGCCTTGTTACCACTGTGCAGGCTGGTGGTGGTGGTGTAATGGTGTGGGGGATGTTTTCCTGGCACACTTTAGGCCCCTTAGTGCCAATTGGGCATCGTTTAAATGCCACGGCCTACCTGAGCATTGTTTCTGACCATGTCCATCCCTTTATGGCCACCATGTACCCATCCTCTGATGGCTACTTCCACCATGTCACAAAGCTCTAATCATTTCAAATTGGTTTCTTGAACATGACAATGAGTTCACTGTACTAAAATGGCCTCCACAGTCACCAGATCTCAACCCAATAGAGCATCTTTGGGATGTGGTGGAACGGGAGATTCGCATCATGGATGTGCAGCCGACAAATCTGCGGCAACTGTGTGATGCCATCATGTCAATATGGACCAAACTCCCTGAGGAATGCTTCCAGCACCTTGTTGAATCTATGCCACGAAGAATTGAGGCAGTTCTGAAGGCAAAAGGGGGTCCAACCCGTTACTAGCATGGGGTACCTAATAAAGTGGCCGGTGAGTGTGTATATATATATATATATATATATATATATATATATATATATATATATATATTTTAGAATATCTTACTGGAAATGTTCTTGTAATCATGTGAACATGAATTTTACCTTTGTGGCTGTTTTGATTGAATCAACAAATTCATCTTTTAGTTCGCAAAGGTCTTCAATAAGACCTTCTCCAACAAAGGTCTTCTGTTCCAGGTAGTCCAGCATTTGAGCAACCTTCTCCCAGAAGTTTTTGAGCTGAATCAGAATTGCCTGAATTTTTGACAAGCTTTCCTGAACATCCTTTAGATGGATGGGGCTGGGTATGGAGCCTGCAGAGGAGAGATAAAGGTTTCAATAAGCCACACGTTCACTCCCTGTCTTAAACTAGAGTTGAATCATGGCACAGTCTTAAGCATGACATGTCAGGTATACTTAAAACAAAAAGATAAAACAGACTCACTCCGGTCAAAACTGGCTCTGGCAGCCTTCATCTGCCAATCAATGATCTGGAGTTCGATTTGCCAGTGCTGCTGTTTCTGATCAGTCTTCTCAGCGATGAGGACATTCAGTTGAGCTTCAAGAGCCTTTATATGTGCAGTGTGTTGAGGATCCTTTACAGCATCATAAATGCCTTTAACAAGTGGCCCGATGAATGGAACGACTGCAGCGAAGATGCCGAGGCCTTTACTTGTTTGAGTTATGCATCTGGCAAATTCTTGAATTTCTTGGGTTTTGCTGTTTATCTTTTTCTCAGTTTCAGCAAGCTCTGCTGTGGTTTTCTGGAGTTTAGATTTCATCTCATTCAGGGCTTTATTAATCACCTTCAACTCTTGGTCTTGTTCTGTAATCTTTTTATCTGTATCTTGTTTTTCCTGGATAACATCACTGGTGGATGATGCTACATCTTTGTTGTGTAAATCATACCTATACAATGTTGAAGAAATGTTGCAGTGAAATTAGCATTTTATAACAATGGGCTGTGTAACTAGCTTAAAAATCATAAAATATGTTCATACTTTTGTCTGATTATAGCAGTTGCATGTAGAAGAATAATTAAATTGCTCAAGCTATTTTGAAATATGTTTTCATGAGGAAAATATTCATACTTCTCCACAATCTTGTCCACATCAGTGATAATGTCTTTGATCCAACCTCGTGCTTTTTCTAGGAATTTGACCGCCAAAGTCGGCTTATTCTTCTCCACAGCTGTCACCAACATGGGAAACAGTGACTTTACCAGGTTTTCACTGGTCAAAATACACTAGAATTAAGAGACAAGTATCTTAGAATTTAAAAATCTACAGTCACACTGATGGAGATGAAACATTCAGAACTCGTATTGCCTGTATTTGTCCAGTAAACCTTTGTGAAATGCTGATCATAATGCTACTGCATTAACTGTTGTTATTATAATTTTAATTTAAAGTTCCCCTATTATGCTATTTTAAAGACTCCTGATTTTGTCTTGATGGTCTCCTACAACAGGTTTACATGCATCAAAAGTCAAAAAACAGTTTCATTTTCTCATAATATACATTTGCACATCACCACATTTTTCAATGTTTCTCAAACGACTCGATGGATGAATCAGTCTCTCTAAATCCCTCCTTTCAGAGAGCTCTGCTCTGCTCTGATTGGCCATAGCCCAGTCTTTTGTGATTGGTCTACTCTGCTACTCACATTATGATATTATGACACGTTGGGCTCTATTTTAACGATCTGAAACGCAAGTATCAAGCGCGAAGCGCAAGTAACTTTGTGGGCGGGTCTTGGGCGCTGTTGCTATTTTACCGGCGGGATAAATGACTCTCCGACGCAAGTTTAAAAGGGGTTGGTCTGAAATATCTTCATTATTCATAGGTGTGGTTTGGCGGTAACGTGAAATAAACCAATCAGAGCGTCATCCAACATACCCTTTAAGAGCATGGGTATGTCCTTAAAGGGTATGTTGGGTATGTCAAAGGGTATGTCAAACAGGTCTGATCCGTCATTACTACAATTTGCCTGAAAAAATTGAGTAAATGTGTAAGCTAGATTTATGCCTATTTTTACACATGGACACCACAATGATTTCCCTCGTGTGGTAATATATTTCCTTGTTATAATGTTAGATTTGCAAAAATAAAAACTGCTGCTTCTGTGTTAAAGAGAGAAGCAACGTGTATGCGCGTTGTGCACCCGCTACATTATGGCCAAGCATGCGCGCTTAAAATAGCATTATGAATAACGCGCAACGCGCCACTGACTTTAGACTAGGCTTTTTCTGGTCAGTGGCGGAATTGTTTTCTGGAACTGCAAAATAGCATGAGGGAAAGTTTGCGCCGAAACACGCCTCCTTTTTTGCGCTGAACCATCCAGGGAGCGCAAGTTCATTTCCTAGTTTACCGACGTGCGTCTGTGGAGGGAAAAGTCTGCTTTGTACAGGTGCAAAATACGAATGATACATGCGTCAGTGTACAAAGTCATTTGCGCCGGGTGCAAGAGAGGGCCCATTATTTATTTATTTCCAGTTAAGGGAGAGACTCTCATAACCAGTTTAGCTCAATCTAATCTCTAGCTAAAAGACTATACATGCTATTTACTACAGACCCTTCATGTTTGGTGAGTTGACACATGCACACACAAAAAAAAATTCTAGTTGACAGAGATGAAAATACTGAAATCAAGAGAAATCTGAAACAGTACTTTCAACATAATTGCATCAGAGGAGCCGAACAGAAGCTGGGTTTCCACCGCCCGACTCCTGATTATTCTCTCCAGGCTGGGGAAGTTGGCCAGGCACAGGTAAGACAGATGGTAGAGAAGCGCTGTCTTTCGGGCCGCAGGGAGAAGCTCTTGTACAAACCCTGGGCGCCACTGGCACACAGCCACTGGTGAAAAAACATGGCATATTTTAAAAGACTGAAAATATCACTTTGATGGCTGGTATTGTTTTCAGATTGTTTGATGAAATAAGATAATACTTGCCTTTGCTATCAGCCATCCTTAGTATGTTTACACAAAAATGTGTGCAATGAATTTCTCCTACAATGTACTGAAGCAGAAGAGTTTTGGTTGATTAAAAACATGAAAATAATTATAAAAATGTTAAGTAAAACTGACTTACCTTTGTTTTAGCAAGTGATGTGGAGAACAAGATATCTGGTGCTTTTATACTAAAGCTATGACCTTCGCCTTTTTTTTTGTAGTTTCCTACAAAGCCTCCGCCCTCAGAGAGAATAACTTTCAAAGAAACTGAAATTTAACTTCCTTTTTTGGGGGCCGCTTGAGTTATGGAGGTGTATATGGTTTCTGGTTCATATGTTCATTAAGTGTTTTTGTTTTGTTAAATGGTAATGCACGATTGCTTACAATTGCTTGCTTACAGGCGACCTAATTACCATATAATACCATATCAATCTGTACCACAGTTTGAATTAACTCACTAGTTACACAGGTTAAATATGTAGGTACTTCCAAATAACATTAACATTATAGACTGTTACTCAGTGATATGCTTTGTAAAATAAAGCCTTATGAATATGTAGGCTACCCCAGTTTGAATTAACTCACTAGTACAGGCCTGAATTGAATATCAATTGAATATCAAATTAAGCCCCGGACACCTGATCTTGTCAAAAGATATCCATTTGTCTGGTGTGTGCAACCCAGAAAACCTGTCAACAGAAAGTCTTGTCTTTTACCTCAAGACTCTATTAACAGCCTTCTATCAGCCTGAGATTTTGACTGAGAAAGCCAGAGAAGAGCAGAAGCAGGAGACGAAGTCGAAGTGATAATAGTAAAGAGCAGAGTGTAATCCCAGCTAACAAAAATAAGTTGTCAGAACGTTTTGCTAACATTCCCATTAGGTTAGGAAAACGTTATTTTGGAATGTTTTTTAAACGTTGAAAACGTCCAGTTTTTTTAATGTATCAAGAACGTTTTTTTCTTGGTTATTGTGAACGTTAAAGGAACATTCAATTCACTCATTTTGGAATGTTTTTTGGATGTTCACATCACCCTGATGGTTGGCCCATCCATCACCAGGCTTACACACAGATACTCGAGTATCACTAATTCACCTTTGCTGCATGGGTTTGAACTGTGTTGGAAACTGTTGTAGCTTACCTGAAGGCAATGACAGAGAACCTGCTAACTCCTGGTTCAGCCGGGACTCGAACCGGGGACCTTCTTGCTGCGAGGTGATAGTGCTACCCACTGAGCTGCTGTGCTGCACTATTTCAAGTTTTATTTCTATGAGTTCATAAAATGTAAGCAAAGAAATTTCTTACAGCTACAGGTCTGGATTTCAAAGTGACAGGATTTTTAAGTACCAAAACCTGTTGACACATTTGTCCAGAGTGTTTACATTTTTCCAGAGTATAACGTTTCTAAGTGAATTAAATATTTGAATTACAAAAATAACAGAAAAAACTTTACTTCAAGATTCACATTTTTCTGTGTAGTACACAACATTTTGTACGAGTCTCTGGGTAGTACACAGTCCAAACAATGGAATCATAAAGAGGAAAAATTACATTTTCTAAACCAAAAACACAACCCCACCACAAGGGAAAAAAGAACACAAACCCAGACATACAACTAGACAAGTCAAATCTAACAAGACATGTGGAAAACAACACAATAGAAACCCAGCAGGGAGCGTTCCCATAACTTTCACTAATGTTATGTAAATGTTAGTAAAAAACCTTCCTGAAATAATGTTTTTAGAACATTCTTATAATGTATATAGAGTTAAAACACATTCTCGTAACGTTGAGAGAAAAATGTTCTTAAAACAAAGTTTTCAGTACGTGCTTGTAATGTTATTTGTTCTTGACTGATGGTCTCATAATGTTCTAATGAAAACGTTCTTATAACAATGTTCACTGAACGTTCTTGTGATGTTCTCATACTATTGAGAGAAAACGTTCATAGAACAACATTCTCAGATACAAAAATATGTTCTTAGAATGTTTTCTAACATTCCCATTAAAGGCACACCGCGGAACTTTTGGCCACTAGTGGCGCTCGACCTGTAATTTTCACGTCTAGCGTCCCTAGAGGCCACAAGCTCCGCAGCACTGTCGCAAAAGTCTACAAACAGTCAACCGGTCAGCCGGTCAGCCTCCCGTGTCTTTAGATTGTGTGTGCAGACAGTAGTTGACTTGTTGGTTGGAGAGAGATAATCGACTCACTATTGTAGGCTTCAGTTTGTTTGTCCTTTTACACACACACATATGAGCTGAAGCCTAAAAATAACGGCAGTATGTTGTGACTTATATCAGTTTTGTTACACGATTTCCCGACTTCGCAGTAAATATTACATTATATATAGTTTTATGCCGATGTTTATGTTTTATTTTCAGTCATCATTTTCTTCGCCGTTTGAAGAATCTTCAGAGTCCCCTCCCGAAACGGGGAGAGGACGAGGAGGGAGAGCCAGGGATAAATGGAGGACCAGATAGATTCCGTAACATGGCCAGGCAGACAACAAATTAAAAAAAATAGAGATTGAGTGCAAGCAATATATTTAACTTAGTCCAAAAGCATGACGGCCAGGTCAGCATCGTTCGGGCACCCCTTCCTCCTGTAGCTCACGCCAGCGGGCGAACGCTGGACCAACGGTGATCCTCGTCCTGGCTTTTAATTTGTCACTCTCCCTTTTTCTTTTTTTAGTGTCCTCTGACAAAACCTTTGCTTTCTTCCTTGTAGCTGTTGGTTCGGCCATGACGAAAACATACAGACGGCAATCAAACGCGAGTTGAGCACTCACGTCAGAATCTGAGGAAGTTGTGGGTGGTGGGGGAAGTGGCGTATGCCGTAAAGCGGTCGAATTTTGTAGTTCTTTTTGTGCTCGGGTTCCTACCCGAACCCCGAAGTTACATAGTGCCAGTAAAAGCGATACCGACACTGTCAGGCTATGGCAAACGTGTCATTCAACCTATTGTAAGTCGATGTACCATCTCAAGGGTTTTGGGTTGAAAAAAATACATAGTGTGCCTTTAAAGGCCATGGTGCAGGTTAAACACCACTGTCGATTAATGGGTACATAAAGCAGTTAGGATATGTATATAAAGTTAGAAATGTCTCCAAAATGGTGTTAAAGTCCAGTTTTTGAAGTTTTTGGTTAGTAACGGTTATTTTTTTACGCGACTCGGCGATGACGTCACATGAGGTAGACGCAGGCAGCGGCGCACTTGGTTTAGTTACAGTTCTGATGGTTCACAGCCGAGGAGATCGATGTTCTCGTCAGGGCCGTAAAATAAAGAGAAGTGACAT